ACACACACAAAGAAAATTTATATAAAAAAAATAAATAAGTATAAACAATTATAATATATTATAATTTACATTATAAATGACAAATAATTAATAAATTACATTACCTTTATTACATTACACTTACAAATCACTTTGGAATCGCATGAGAGAAAATTATTATAGAATCTTCATTTTTGGGGGGTTAATTATTCCTTTAATATTCTAATGAGAAAATATGTGGGTTAGTGTCATGCCATAGGCCACAAAAATGAACCATACCATCAGGTAAAAACTCTAAAAACATAATTCTCTGAAAACTTTGAACATCAAAACAATATCATCCCATTTAAATATTTTCCAAATTTCAGAGAAACATACTTAATACTTAATACTTAATGTCTTAATACTCAGAAATGACATCTCTTTTTTTTTCCAAGTTTAAACACACTGAATGAGGCCAATCACTTTGATCCTCACCTCATCCTCTGAATATGAATGTAGGAAAATGCAGGCGAGGGATTAGCCCTAATACCCTCAGAAAAGAAGTCATGCTCATGTTTCAAATGAGCAGCCCGCTAAAGCCGGGATGGATAAATGCACCGGGCTCATAATGCCTGGATCACACATGTCCATAGACATGTATCTGCTCTCACCAGTGAGGCACAGCATCTGCCGCCCACCCACTGACGGGGGGCTCATTGCCATGGAGAATATACCTTATACGGGGACAATTGTGTGTGTGAGGACACAGCAGGGTGGGGGCTGCCGTTCCTTCACCGTGTGGAATGAGAGGTGTTTCATTTTAGAACAAAGACTCACAGCAAGACAGCACGAACGCAAGCGTAGGGACACACCGTGCTGCTCTGCTGCTCACTGAGCTGGAGCCATGCCACTTTTCAAAATCATACTATGATGTTCTTGCTCTTGGTTTTCTTAAACAGGACATTAATAAATGTTTGGCAAAAGTATTAGGATGAATAAAGCTGGACACAGATTACAAGGAGATTTTACTGCTCAAAGACCAGCATGAATTTCCAAATTGGTGCAGTAGAAGTTGGTTTATGCTGGTTAGTTATAATCTGGTCCAGATCTACCTGTTGGACCAGCATGCTGTCCACCAGGAAAACCATTTTGGATATTAGAGGAGAACTTTGATGTTTTGTCTCCTTGGCTCCTTGGCTTTGAAGGCCAATTTACCCTTAGATTAAAAATATAATTCTTTATCATTGTTTATGTCTGGTTTTCCAGTATAAATATCTAAACATACTTAAAATAAGATACATTAGTTGTTTTTTTTTTAAAAGTGAAAGTGACATGATGTGTAGCCAAGTATGATGTCCCATACACGGAATCTGTGCTCTGCATTTACCCCTTCCAAGTGCACACACACAATAGTGAGTAGTGAACACGCACACACCGTGAACACACACCCGGAGCAGCGGGCAGCCATTTTTTGCTGCGGGGCCCGGGGAGCAGTTGGGGGTTCAGTGCCTTGCTCAAGGGTCTCACCTCAGTCGTGGTATTGAGGGTGGAAGAGAGCGCTGGTTATTCACTCCCGCCACCTACAATCCCTGCTGGTACCGAGACTCGAACCCACAACCTTTGGGTTACAAGTCAGACTCTCTAACCATTAGCCCACGCCTATTTAAAATTAAGGTTGTAATTAGAATGTCTGTGTGCACGGAGATCTTTGAGAAGATTGTGATTAAACTCAGTTTGTCCATCACAAGAGCAGCTGTCAGTGGCGTTTAATTCACTCTGAGGATTGAGATACATGCCTGTCTTGGTGTTTCCTCCCTTGTAGGTGATGCGCTGCACGGCGTCCAGCAGAGCCTCCTTATCGCTGTAGGAGCTGAGCTTCAACTCAGTCCTGGCGTCATCACTGAACTGAACAATGGCCACCTGTCAGTTGTAGAAAGTAAGTTAGCAGCCATTTATCACATGTTTAAAAGCAACAGTATATCAATGTCAGAAAGAATTTCCCCCTGGAATTGATTTTAAAGGACATTTTGATACTTTTATAAGGGCATATTGTATTTTTAACATACTTTAGTACAGTTTAAATCCTTATATTTTAATAATCTTTTGTTGTGCTTTAAAGAAGTTTACTTATTTTGACTAACATACTAAAGCATGTAAGTTTTTTTTATTATAATTTTAACTGTAGTGTGTTATTTAGTATTAAGTGAAGTGAAACTTCATCATTTCAAATGTGTAATTACTCCAAATCAATTATTTGAAAGTATCACTTAAGTGTATAGGCAAAATAACTCTAAAATACACATTACCATTCAAAGGTTTGAGGTCAGTATGATTTTTTTATGTTTTTGAAAGAAGTCTCTCACCCAGTGCTCGCCCAG